TCCCTCTGGACAATGGAAGCTGAGTAAATACTATCGCAACAATTTCTCTAATGTGTAAGTCAACATTTACATCGGTTGATCGATGGGAAACACGAACTGCGCAATCAAGAAAAAAACGTTACTATGTGTATTTACATTGTAACAGGCATCTGTTTCCATGTTTGAGTCTCTTCATCTTTATTAAAATCCAGGAAATATTTACAAATCGAGCGTTTACTTTTGAGACATTATCCTAACGAGGATAAAAGCACAATTGTGCGCGGATAATAATGAAAGAATCTTCAAAGTAATACGTAGCAAGCATGTTTTTGCCTCATGAACCCTTTAAGAGTCATCAATTTGATTTACATAAGATAAAAGAGATGATGAATAAGCAAGCCTATGAGTAAGAAGAATAATGATTTTAAAAAATGATCACATTTTTCAAGGAATAGACGAGTGGGTACGACTTTGAAACACGAAAAGATTCGAGATGCTTTCCTTAACAGGAAGGCAGTGCGGCTAAAACGATAAACTCAATACCCTACTCAACTGAAAAGTGACATCACAGACATATGAACTGTAAGAGGAACGCTATTCGCAGGTAATCACGATCACAACCGATTAGATCAGCTGGGCACAAGTATTATATGGAAGGGAAAGAAAGGAGAATATGTGCTAGCGAGAACAATGGGGGAAATTGGGGATGGAGGAACAACAACGAGAGATATGTATGACGAGACAGTTATGAGAAATTTACTTGAGCCTTTGTGTTATGCTTGCCAGAGCAACAGCAAAAGCCTGGCTTGCAGAAAAGGGTCGCTTGAAATCTAGTGTGTACGCTCCACCTTCGATTCGACCAAACTGGAGCACCTGTTTCCCGTCCATCTCTACCTAAATATTTTCAATAGATAATTTATTGATTGAGACAAAGATAGCGCAAAACACGTACTTGGAAGTTCTTCGCCGACTCCTGGGTAACACGGCCCCCAAAGTCTAACTGCAATGGAAAACGATAAGTACATCAGATACTTTTAATTAAGGACAAAATATGGGAAA